TCTCTGTCGGGTTAGCGGCTGCAAAAAAACTGAGTTTTGGGATTTGAGTAGCTCACTCTTTTCCCTTGCTGTCTCGTGTAGGCCCCCATCTTTTTTAAAGTTGGGGCCCAATACTGGCGTTGTTCTCGATTTTGATTTGGCATAGGAGAAGAAATACTTTGGGTTTCTTTCGATTTCATTTATGGCTTTTAGTTCTTCCCGCGATTTCCTGACTCCTAAAGGATTCTTTTAGCTTAAGTTCGATGCTTGCTATTTCTCTGACCAGTGTCTCCCTACGCATTTCAGTATATTGACCTCTTTTACCCGCTCTGTTATTCTTTTCCGTCGCTGTAAAGGGAGCGCCTGTCTCTTTCTATTTTACATCTACTCCCCTTTTTATTAGAGGAATAAGCCTTGTGCATACATCGAGTGCCCCCAAGTTAATCTGTTCTAGGCATAATTTGGGGTCTGTTTTGCTTAGTATATCTTCCCCAGCTTATATCGGTTGGGGACTTGGTTTACTTGGCCCCACTTTGTTTTTGTTATTGAAGTTGAATTTGGTGAATGCTCCCTCGTGACTAGAATCTTTTATGTCGGTCTGGGGCTCCACGCATACATGCCTGAACCTCAATTAGTTTGTGATCTGAGTATATTGTTTTTGATATGGTGACATTTCTTATCAGATCATCATTTTTAATAAAGATGAGGTCTAGTGTTTTTCCAGTCTAGTAGGTCCTATTATTTGCTGGTTTAAATTGAATTTTGGGCAGAGTTTTAAAAGCTCGTGTGAGTGTGATTTTTCATCAGAGCTGCCTCCTGGTGTTATTACTGCAAACAATATTATTTGCTATATTCCTCCATTTTAGGTGCCTTAAGTTGAAATCCCCAGGAGCAAGATGTTGGGTGCAGGAGCGGGAAAGATTTTCCAGACAGTGGTCAATTTTTAACAGCTGTTCCTGGAATTGCTGGGTGTTGCATCCGGAGGCTTGTAGACTACCACAATGACTAGGTTTTGGTTCTCGACCTTTACTGCTAAACTTCACTACATCATTTGAGGCATTAAGCAGTTCTGTGCAAACAGTGACTCTGCATGTACAGGCCAACCCCCCCCCCTTTTGCCCGTTCACTCTGTCACATCTGTATTAGGTTGTAACTGGGATCCATATTTCGTTGTCCAAGTGATCCTTTATGTGGGTCTCAGTGAAAGCCGCGAAAATTGCCTTTGCTTTGCAAGCAGTTCCACGATGAAAAGATATTTTGATTTGATTGTTTGCATGCTTTAGACCCTGTAATATCTGCCAAGAAGAATTGTTATCGGGCTGGTTGTATTGTTGGATACTGGGGGGGGATTTTTTTCCGGCATTAGTATCTTTGGTTTGGAGTGGAGGGGCCATCGACAGTGGTTCAACACTCCAGAATGACTGGAATTGGTGTAAGCGATTTTCTGCCATTTAGCTGCCAGTTTTTTTTTCCTTCCTGGCCACCCTAAAAAATCTCTCCCTCTTGCGTGCTGTGGGCTACCCAGTTTTCCCATGGCCTGGATTTGTTTTGTATCTTTTTGTCCCCTTTAGGATGGTATGCCTGGCAATTATAAGTTATAGCACAGTCTTTCTCTGTACTGAAGAGGAACACACAGCTCATGTGAAAAAGCTATTACAGGAAGGGAGTTTTGCATTTTCCAGTTGTCATATGGCATGCATTTTCCAGGGTGGACGGTAGTTTGCACGTCCCAATCGGTTTTCCAGATTATCCCATGCCGTCAGATACCAAGTGCCTGAGTATGAGCACAGGCTTGGTCTTCCGTTTTGCCTTGGGTTTCTGTGACTGTATTCCCTGTTGGCAATGTTTCCCTGTCTTACTTCTATCCTTCCCTAGCACCAACAATGAGCTCCCACCCAGTTGTTTTTGGAGTAATATATCCTCACTATTGCTAGTGGAGTTCCTCTTGTTTGATATTTCGCTGCGGTAATCTAGTTTGCAATATTGGTTTTATCTTATCTTTGACACACTTGTTTCCCTACTAATGCCTCCTGTCCCCTATTGAGCCATAATATGTATTCCTTCCTGCTATAATTCCCGGACTACCTGGACAAAATCACCAGCTTCACCATTACTGACTCCCACAAATTTCGAATATAATCATGGTCATTTAGTCCATTTCACTAGTTTTAGATTCCATTGTGTTTTGTTATAGACCCACCAATAATACTTAATGTCTGGGCTTAAAATCTCCAAGAAGATGGTTGTTTCACTATTGATGTTAACTGGTAAAGCATCAGGGTCGAAGCTGTTCGCTTGGGCATAGAGATTAAAAATGTTTATGGATAAAATCGCCGTGCAGTACTTTGACACCATGATACTGCATGTTAACACGACTCTGCTGGAAAGGAATGAGAATGTGGCAAGTTCTTTCTGACACCAATCACCCAACAGTTGGTTGACCTTCAGGATATAATCTGCATATCCAGCAAGTTTTTGGTGGAGTGCTCCATCTTTCAATCTCTACATTCCTGCAAACAGATGACATCAATATTCTTGGTTGCACTAATAGAAGTAAGTCAGCAAAACCGCAATCCTGAAGGAGAGCAATGTTTCCTGAAAAGATTTGTAATGTATCCAGTTTGAAGTGAGATATTACAATCTCTTGCCCCACAAGGAAGGTTCCTTGATGATTGTGAGGGCTCTTGATTAGGGATGGATCAGAGCCCAGTTCCCCGAATTAAGCCTGAATTGCCTCCCACATCCCCCCCAGGCTCTTTATAACCTCCGGTTTAGCGCTTCCCCCAAGATATAATAATAATAATACAATCTCTTGCTCATAAAAGTTAAAACTATTATGGTTGACTACAGTGTGCAGACACTTAAGAGCAAAAAGCATAGTTTCTACGTCTTTTAACTTCAGGACCTTTATTTTTAAGCATTTTTCTTCATCTTGACAGCTCGAGTTAAAAGGCAATTATTTAAAGCAAGAGTCAGGGCTTCTTTCTCACTAATTGCTGAAACTGAACTGGGATTGCCTGCACTTTTGACATCACCATGCTCAAGAGCACATCAATCCTGATTACATATATTTATTAACTTGTCAGGATCTTCAAATGCACAATTTTTATCTGGAATATTGTTATAATATTAGGAAGACAGGCGAATCACTATGCCTCTCCGGAGGATAGACACTTCTGGGTTAGTGATTTTGCTTAAAACACCTATCACCTAACAGGTAACCATGGTTACATTATGTTCACTGTTTCACACAACCATTCAATGCAGGTAGGTCCTGTGCATCTAACTCATCTCCAATTTCCAGGGAGGTCACCTTGTGGTGTTCCGTCTGACTGTTGTAGTTGTAGTGTATTGGGAGAAAGACAAACTCATCTCCCCATATTCCATGTGTAGCCATAGTATATGTAGTGGCAGACCAGTAGTTTCCAAATGTGCTAGCAGGGATGCTGGCTCCTCCCATCAGCTGGTGTGTGTGATGGCATTCTGTACACCAGAATCCTTTGCAGTGAGGTGGGGTGTCTTTGCACACTTTTGCAGATGTTCATCTCAGAAATCTGGCTGAGGTAGAACTGGATTTCCTCATCCTCATTTACCATTAAAGGACTGTTATCAGGTTTTACATCGAAGGTGTTTGGGTTCTGACTGCAGTCCTGTGGGAAACGTAACCCCAACTTCTTTACAGTTAATACACTTAAATTTTTGGCTGTCAGGGCCTACTGTCATTCTCTAGTGAATGTTTCCCAGCACACTTAACCACACCAAGAACATGTAGTATTCCACGTCATACTGCAACATGGGGGCGCCCCCACCCCATTAAAGTTTTTGCGGCATTTGTACACCTACGTTTTAGGGGGAAGGTACACTTCGATGTTTAGGAACGTAAACCATGCATCCCCAGATATTCCGGGGGAGGGGCACAGACCCTACCAACTTGGCAAATATTTGGGATTATCCTTTAAGTCTTTAGGCTTGAGATATGCTCACTGATAAGTCAGATGGATGGTCCATAAGCAGAGATGTTAATACCAAAGATTAATGATACTGACACCATTTTTTTAAAGTCGTGAGTGTCTGATGAGTAGGAGCAGTCTTAAAACCCCCATAAGGGTGTACTAAGTAGATCTTGATCATTCTGCATTCTGTTTTCCACAAACACAAAGTTTGTGTTTTTCCTAAATTGGATCCTTGAGTTAGGATGCTTGTTTACCGAGCTCATTACCATTGCACACTTAGCAGCAGCAGGTGTTGTCAGGGAAGTTCAGCTGAACACAATTCTTCCTTTGAAGAAAGACATCTTGCAGCCTCTGTGCACCATGACGTTTAGTATCACAATGTGTACGAGGTCAAGTGATCTGACTAACGCGACGCTCTAGCCCCTTTCTCACTTTTTCTCTTTTGGTTTACTTTTTTAAAGTTCTGGAAGCTATCAACATTTCCATTCACCTGCAGAACAGGTTTCCTCTATGAACAGTGCCATGTTTGCCAGTGGATGATATCTCGTGTAACACTCACACACAAGAACTCCTTGCTTATCATTCCCTTATAGCTTATGCAAAGTAAATATTTACTATAAAGTCAGAAGTCTAAAATAGATCATATGACACAAGTGTTCAAGTTTCAATGAACACTTCCAATTATACATAACCCAGATTATCAACTACTTAATACGATACACACCTTACAACAAATACATTTCAGAGACTTCTTGTATGTTTAATAATATGGTAACATAAATGATATAATGGAAGGTACAGGCAGGTTCTTTCCAACACCTTTTCACAAATTACAAAGATGAAAAGAGAGAGAGAGAGGAGAGAGAGAGAGAGAGAGAGAGAGAGAGAGGAGGAGAGATAGAGAGAGCGAAAGAGAGAGAGAGAGAGAGAGAGAGAGAGAGAGAGAGAGAGAGTGAGAGAGAGATAGATACAGACAGACAGACAGACAGACAGAAAAGCAAAGTAGGTAATAGTGAGCATAAATTAGAATTCTGACATATGATCACATTAAAACAAGAGGTTTAAATTCATGATAAAACTTCCACTTTGAGTTAGTTCAGGCTACTGCCACCTAATGTCCCTCACTGAAATAATAATATAGCGGACTTCACAATGAATGCAGAATGACACCTCTTACCCCAACCATAGATTGTAAACAATATTACTAAAAAAAAAAAACAAAATAGGTAATGTTACAATGACCAATGAGATAAAATCACTCTGGTCGAGTTGCCTTGTCCATCAGGGTAACTCACACTTTACCTATGTTATATATGCATGCAAGCATAAGGTGCAGTGTAGATAGAGAAGAACCAGTACCTAAACAATCCTCACTTACACACCGTGTACTATGTAGACAAGTGATTAATCAAGTAAAATACAAAAGCATAAGTTACACACTTCAACACGCACAGATGAACACTCTGCAATTTGAAAAATTACAGGGAATTTAGGCAGTAAAGTTTCAGACCGTGGCCTGGTGGCGTAAAGCTTCCCCGCTTCACACACGGAGGGCCCGGTTCGATTCCCCGGCGGGTGAAACATTCGACACAAGCGTTTTCCTTACACCTGTTGCCTGTTCATCCTAGCAGCAAATAGGAACCTGCCTGTTAGTCGACTGGTGTGGGTCGCATCCTGGGGGAACCAGAGATTAAGGACCCCAATGAAAAAAGTTAGACAGTCCTCGATGACGCACTGACTTTCTGGGTATCCTGGTGGCTAACGCTCCGTTTTAAAAATCCGAAACGAAATCTTAACTTAACTTGTCTGAAAGAGAAAATGTATTACCAAAACTCAACAATGACACTAGACAAGCAACATAATTGATGTAACCAGTATTTAAATATATCAGTAAACTCTGAGCAAGCAAGTATTACACTTGATTATCAAATGTAAGGAGTCACTACACACTGAAGTACAACAATCGAAGCCTTTTAAAGTCTTAAACAGGCTTACCAATGACAAGATACCTGATTTGGGAAAACAGCACTTATACACACTAGCACACGTATGACCGATGAATGTACTGGTGTACAAGCAAATCACCACAAACTTACAATTTTATAAGAGAAACCATCTGCATGTCCCACTTAAAATGTCAGTACTGCAATGCTCGTTAAATTTTCTAACTAAGCCACTACAGGAAACACTGGTTTGGCCCAGCAGCACTGTAGGCCGTATACATGACATGCGGGCCTTAGGACAGCTATAAACTGCAGGCTGCCTTAGCTTGTTTCTGGCTAGCTTTTAGTGCTGCTTACAAGCTTGCTAGAATTTCTTGCTAATCCCGTGTCAACCGCCTGATATTTGCTTGGAGGCAGCAGGTAGGCACAACCAGTAAACACATTCGTAAGATGATGGAGTGCGGCACAGAGGACTGACATGGGCACTCAAGTACTTAATGTGTACTGGCAAAAAACCGCCCTCTAGACAAAGTAAATAGAGAACTAATGTGCATTGCAAGCCCGTGTCAACCACTTGGATATTTGCTTGTAGCAGCAGGTAGAGTGGGCACACAGGAGAAACATTTCCGAAACTCATGCAGGAAGGGAGATTCGTCCATAATTCTCAAGGTACAAGTTGAAACTACTGTGCGGAACACAGATATTCGAGTACCAGCGGAGCAGCAAAATACGTCTCAACACTACACTTGATAGAGGCGAACGGCTTGATTAAAATATAAAGGCGGAGAGTTGGTGATACAGGAGAAATAAGCAGGGTTAACTGAGCACGCGACATTCGCCTCTCCTTCACATAGCCAATATAAGCGAAATGTCCCAGGCAGAGATGCAAGTGCCTCGCTCAAGGTCACTGACTGAGGCAGACATCTCAAGAGTTACAAACACTGCAATACTACGGTGCACGTAGTTTACACACCTCCAAACCTGGCAGAATTTCTAGCAACACTTGTCTTGGAATGAAAACGAATTTTCAAGTGTGTGTCAACACCTGGGTTGCCAACTCACGTAGACAGCACACGATCGTCGTTATTCCTCCGTTGGTAAGATGAGCTGGAGGCGCATTTCAAGAGGCACGAGTAGCATGGACTAGCAAAATTCCACCTCTACACTGTATGTTGATAGAGACGAAAGGCTGAGGCAAAAGAAAGGAAGAAGGGAAAGCAGAGGCCTGAGAGGCCTTTACCAAACGGAAAACTAATTCCAGTGTTTTACTAGGTAAACCTAGTCACAACTCACACACAAGAGTTCACGTAAAGGGAAAGCTAATTTAAGGCTGCACATTTGACACTATGGAGTTGAGAGCATTTATAACTGATAGATAACAGGTAAATTAAGGTGTCAGTCATAGATACATAAACGCCTTTGAGTACAAAGATATACAAGCGTTCAGTTTGAAGAGAAGAACGCAGTTGCCTGATGCTTGCCTCGAATTTCTGAATGGAGCCATCATTGTAACAACAAGATTGGGAACATAGCATCACATCATAATTGTGAGGAAGTGTGTGCTGATCTTATTAATAATCTTTTTTTATAGCAATACTTTCAATGTATGCTGATCTAAAAAAAAAATGAAATCGGACTATAACAAAGTCTGTTTACTCTCTTTAAAAGCATTATTCTTGGTTTCAAGGCTAAATGCTTTGTTTGGTGACGAAAGAAGTACAAGAGCATTGAAAATCTGAAGCTTACGAATGAGCATTCTCAAGTTACAAACGAAACCCATTCGAAGAAAAAAAACTGATCTAGCAACTATAAATTACGTTTTGGGGCCGTGCCACCCCTAATCGAAGATGGCTTTGGGACTTCTAACAACAACAACATAATAATAAATAATAATAAAGATTTTTGATCACAGACCCCCTACATCTCTGGTCATGTAACTCTAAACTACTGTATCATAAATATACATTCACAAGTGGATTTCCAGTCCTCTCGCCATCTTAGGGAAATACTTTTGAATCGGGCTCTGCAGATAAGACCAAAATAGAGGAAAAAAGTCTTGTGGCACAAAAATGCCTTTACAACCAATTAATAGGAGAAATTCCAGATAAATTTGACTCTGATTATAATGCGTCACTTTCATAATTTTGCATTAACCACTCAACCATATAGACTGAAACGGTTTTTGTCACTGAGTCGTTTGGCACTAGGGCGGCAAGCGGTTCTATAAATTGGTGTAATAATACTTAACGAAGTTGTAATGTGATAGCTATTGGCCTTATCTCTTGGCAGACCATGTCAAAGAAAACACTGGCTTACTGGTCAAAACTCTGATCTGCCTTTGGTAAAGTTCTATTTTTTTTTAGCAGATTGGAACAAGAAACTAAGTACAACCATATATAATACAAAAACTGATTGCGGGTCGTTGGGCGAGATCTTTATCTAGGGAGCTCTGGAGTGAGAAAATTGCTCACGCCGATGCAGAGCTCATTTCTCATCATCCCCAACCCACTTTCGTTTTGGTCTGGGCTGCTTTCCACGTGGAAACAGCCATTCAGGCTTGTCATCAGCTTCATTACAGTAGGAAAGGTCTCATCTGCCAGTAAAGTACAAATGCAGCCACTGATAGCCGCTGTATCACTGGTACAACTGAAACGCCCTCTGCCCTCCACTACGTCAAGGTTGCTGCCTCTTGATAAAAATCCAATCAAAATAAAAATGTATTTCTTTGCAAACATTACGATGTGTGTTTCCATTTCATAATTTGATTGATACCAAGAAAGCCACTATCATGCCGAGGCATTTCGGGGAGACAACCTGGTACTTAGACTACTTAAGTCTAGACAGGTGAAGAGTGGTAAATTACAGATATTCAATATTTTTACTCTATTATTAATACGAGGTAGTGCAATTTATGATAGCCCTACATTAAGTTTGTAATAATGGCTTAATAGTTTTTTTTTTCAACAAGTCTGCTGTCTCCCACCGAGGAAGGGTGACCCAAGAGAAAAAATCCCCAAAAAAGAAAATACATACTTTCATCATTCAAAACTTTCACCTCACTCATACATAATCCACTGTCTTTACAGAGGTGCCCAGATACAACAGTAGTTAAGGAATAACAAAGTATTTGGGAGAGTTGCCTCAATTTTGGTTAGAGATTAGCAGTGTGGGTATGGTTTTTATTGAGAGACCAGATGATTTTTAAATATAGTCCTAAATTGATTTGTGGGCAGGGGACCTCTTGCTACTTCGGGTAAAGAGTTCCAGATCCTTGAGCCCTTTATGTGCATTGCATTTTTGCATAATTCCTCTCCATTTTTTCAGGTTGGCCCAATTCTCCTGATGCGGGTGTTTTGCGAATACTGTTCTGGATGATGTACGTGATTGGTTTGGTGGTAATGGCAGCGTACTCAGCCACGCTAGTCTCCTTCCTGACCGTAGTTAATGACCAACTTCCTTTTGACACCTTGGAAGACCTAAAACAGCTCCAAAAATATCGACTCGGCATACAAAAGGGTTCGATGCTTGAGGAGTTCTTCAAGGTGGGTTTCTTCAGAGTATGATCATCATAATATAAATGACAGTTAATTTAGGTAAATGGACACATTTGGAGCATTTAAATATTTATTTTTAAATTGCGTTTCGCTCATCGGAGTCTTCTTAAGCCTCTGTGAATATTAACAGGAAAAAACGTGGAGTACCGGTAAACTATACTTCTTCAGTCACTATACGATCCAAAGAAGGTACTTCCTAAGCCCAGCCCTGCCACAGCACGCAGCAGGAATAATGCAGGATTGTCATAAAATTCTAGTGATGCGAAATATATATATTCTTCTTTCAGTGTACCAGCCGTATCCCTCTGAGTGGGATGGCCCAAAGGGAAAACGAAAGCTTCTCCTTTTAAATTTAGTAATATATACAGGAGAAGGGGTTACTAGCCCCTTGCTCCTGGCATTTAAGTCACCTCTTACAACACGCATGGCTTACGGAGGAAGAATTCTGTTCCACTTCCCCATGGAGATAAGAGGAAATAAACAAGAAGAAGAACTAGAAAGAAAATAGAAGAAAACCCAGAGGGTTGTGTATATATAGCTTGTACACGTATGTGTAGTGTGACATGAGTGTAAGTAGAAGTAGCAAGACGTACCTGAAATCTGCATGTTCATGAGACAGACAAAAGACACCAGCAATCCTACCATCATGTTAAACAATTACAGGCTTTCATTTACACTCACTTGGCAGGATGTAGTACCTCCCTGGGCAGTTGCTGTTTACCAACCTACTACCTAGAAATATACAGTGGACCCTCGAGTTTCGGCAGCCTCGACTTTCATGAAATTCGACCTTTGGCCGAGTTTTTTTTGGCAAAAATTTGGTCTCGAATTTCGTGATTAGACTCGTGTTTCGGCAACCGTCCGGTACCTGTCCGCCCGTCACCGCGCACAACCAAGCCATCTCCCACGCCATTCACGCTCAGTGTGCCATTGTTTACCACCTTCAAAACTACCATCAGAAAACATCTTATCTCCCTGATACACCCTGTCAACTAATTACACGAATACCACCTGGTGGTTAAGATAAGATAAGATAAGATTTCATTCGATTTTTAACCCCGGAGGGTTAGCCAACCCAGGATAACCCAAGAAAGTCAGTGCGTCATCGAGGACTGTCTAACTTATTTCCATTGGGGTCCTTAATCTTGTCCCCCAGGATGCAACCCACACCAGTCGACTAGCACCCAGGTACCTATTTGCTGCTAGGTGAACAGGACAACAGTGTAAGGAAACGTGTCGAAATGTTTCCACACCCGCCGGGAATCGAACCCGGGCCCTCAGTGTGTGAAGCGGGAGCTTTAGCCACCAAGCCACCGGGCCACCGGCCACCGGTTAACACTTACACTCACTCACCCATTTGACCATAAACAGAAATATCAATCTCAATTTCAAAATAATGAATCTTAACTAGTCATAAGTTGGCCTGTGATACTCCAATACTGAAACTATGTATAGTGCCAAAACAAAAGCATTCACATTGCTAAACTCACAAACAAGTATTTAGTCACTTAGCCATAATACCAACTTACCTCATAATTTTGTAATATTTTAAACTTAAGATTTAATTTAAGTCTGCCTGAAATGCCTAGCCATGCTAGGTGTTCTAGTGGTACACGCTGTAATTATTATTTTTACTACATGTAAACCACACAATAGCCAAATTCTGTAAACTCAGCATTGTAATCCTTATAGATAATAAACTTTGAATTTGAATTTGAATTTGAACACGTGACCATCACCCCGCGGGTTCATACAATACATTTCATAATAATCCATTGTTTTTTGTCCTTGCAACTGCTAAATAAGTCATCATGGACCCAAGGAAAGCTAGTGCAAGCCCTTTGGTAAATAAAGTGAGGAACACGATCCAGAGGGATTTTGAAGGGTTTGAGGCAGACCCTGTCCCTGCTGACCCTCTGCCTGTTGTGGTGGCCTGGTGGCTAAAGCTCCTGCTTCACACACGGAGGGCCCGGGTTCGATCCCGGCGGATGGAAACATTTCGACACGTTTTCCTTACACCTGTTGTCCTGTTCACCTAGCAGCAAATAGGTACCTGGGTGTTAGTCGACTGGTGTGGGTCGCATCCTGGGGGACAAGATTAAGGACCCCAATGGAAATAAGTTAGACAGTCCTTGATGACGCACTGACTTTCTTGGGTTATCCTGGGTGGCTAACCCTCCGGGGTTAAAAATCCGAACGAAATCTTATCTTATCTTATCTTAAAGGTGTTGTGGCATTGGCAAGTCCATGGGGTTGGAGGTGAGTGACTGGATGTGGAAGAGTTGGTGGAGGACCACAGGGAAGAGCTAACCACTGACGAACTGCTAGAGCTTCAACTGGAACAGCATCAGACCACAGCTGAGGAACTTGCTTCGGAGGAGGAGGAAAAGAGTGAAGGAGGTTCCTTCTTCAGTGATTAAGGACATATGTGGAATGAGTTGCAAAGTTTTGTTGAAAAGTATCACCCTGACCAAGCTGAAACAAGCCATATCTGCAACATGTACAATGACAGTGTTGTGTCCCACTTCAGGGAAATCTTAAAGAAACGCCAGAAAAAGACCTCTCTGGACAGATATTTTGTGCGACAGGGGTCCAGTGACTCAAGTTGTTCCCAGTGGCATTAAAAAAAGAAGGGAAGTAAGCCCAGATAAGGACTTGCAACCTAAAGTCCTACTAATGGAAGGAGATTCTCCTTCCAAACAATAGTGTACACCTTCCTCCTATCCCCTCCTCCCGTCTTCCATCCACCCAGAAGTCTTCAGTAAAGGCAAGTGTAATGTTATTATTATTTTTTATATGCATGTACTTGATTTCTCATTGATTTCAGTATATAAATCTTTATTTAATTTGAAAAAAATATTTTATTTTAATATTTTTGGGTGTCTGGAATGGATTAATTTTATTTCCATTATTTCTTATGGGGAAAATGGTTTCGAGTTTCGTGAATTTCGACTTTCGGCAGGCTCTCTGGAACGGATTAATCACGAAACTCGGGGGACCACTGTATATATATGTGCATATTTTTTTTTTCATGAACTTAGGTATGTACGTTTGAATGTGTATTCACATGTAATACCAGTATGTGATTGCAGAGGTTGAGTCTTGGCTCCTGGTCCCTGCATCTTAACTTGCCATTTGCCAGATTGAATCTGGGACAAAAAAAAAAGTCATAGGAAAAGAAGTTGCAGAAGAAAAGTTAGTTTTGGGTAGGCAGAAAGTCAGATAAGTCACGATTGCTTATGTTTGGTCAGATTAACTGACATTTTTCTGTGGTTTTATTTCTGCTTACCTCCACTCCCTTCTAGCTTCATGGACCCTATGGTACCTGCTCTTAAAATTATTTGTGGGCCCTGACTCCACCACAGCTAGAGAGGATGGAGAAAAATAGGATGGGTGTATAAATCTGTAGTGGAAGGGAGGAGGGGTAGGGGTTGGGGTCGTCCTAGGAGAGGATGGAGGGGGTAAAAGGGGTTTTGTATGCAAGGGGCTTGGATATACAGCATGAATGTGTGAGCGTGTTAGATAGGAGTAAATGGAGATGAATGGTTTTTGGCACCTGACGAGCTATTGGATTGTAAGCAGAATAATATTTTGTGAAGGGATTCAGGGAAACCAGTTAGCTGGTGGGAAGTACATTGACTGCACTTTAAAGGAGGGGTTTGGGATATTGGCTGTTTGGCGGGACGTCTAAACTGTCGTATCTGAGCGCCTTTGCAAAGACAGTGATTATGCGTGAATGATGGTGAAAGTGTTTTCTTTTTTGGGTCACCCTGCCTCGGTGGGAGACGGCTGACGCATTGAAAAAAAATATGTATAATATTTAGACCACAGGAAGCTCGACCCTACAAACTTTGGGACAAAGTACGCAGTACTATCTACACCAGGCCAGATCAGACAAGACTATCTTTCAGCATGTGGTGCGTTCTCTCCAGAGCTGCTGGCACACAGCTAGTGATAAGTGTTTCATGTTACACGAGTTTATTTTATTTCATTTTTTTCTGTTAATGCACTTTGATGCTTGATGAAACATCTGCAAACAAAATGTTGCAAATGTATCCATTTACCTTAAAATGATGGGCTCGTGTGAGAGCATAGTGAAGTGGTTATCCTTATATTTAATAAACATTTTTTCTCGGTGAGGTGTAGATGATGCGAGCTTGGAGTGACTGTGAGAGAATTCAAATGTATTGATTCTTTATATGGTTTGTAATCAACTTTAAACTACTGGCATTTAAGGCTTAAACTGTTTTATTAATTTTTAAATTAATACTTCAATAAGAACTCTACCTGCTTTGCGATCTTGGGGTCACAATTATGTTAATAAATGGGATAAAATGATGGCTGTATTAAGTTAACTCCTAGGTAGTAGGTTGGTAAACAGCAACCACCCAGGGAGGTACTACCGTCCTGCCAAGTGAGTGTACAACGAAAACCTGTAATTGTTTTACATGATGGTAGGATTGCTGGTGTCTTTTGTCTGTCTCATAAACATGCAAGATTTCAGGTATGTCTTGTTACTTCTACTTGCACTTAGGTCACACTACACATACATGTACAAGCAAATATATACACACCCTTCTAGGTATTCTTCTATTTTCTTTCTAGTTCTTGTTCTTGTTTATTTCCTCTTATCTCCATGGGGAAGTGGAACAGAATTCTTCCTCCATAAGCCATGCGTGTTGTAAGAGGCGACTAAAATGCCGGGAGCAACGGGCTAGTAACCCCTTCTTCCGTATAAATTACTAAATTTAAGAGAAACTTTAGTTTTTCTTTTTGGGCCACCCTGCCTTGGTGGGATACGGCCGGTGTGTTGAAAGAAGATTAAGTTAACTTTTAATTATACTCTTAAATAGAATTTTGAAGCCTGTTGTTAGAATATTTTAGAACACTTGATATTCTGATTGCAAAAACAAGGTTTAATAAAATGAACACTGTCATTAACATGCAAATGATGTATGAGAAATATAACTATAAAACTTTTACCGTTCTTATTGCAGAACCAAAATTTCCTTGTGTACTATAAGGCACTCATTGAACCTTACACGGATACGCTGAAGAAGTCGATTATTGAGTTACGAACATTGGCACTGAAGAACTCTGACTATGCTTATGTGGGGTCCTACGAGGTACAGCGACTTGACAGTGTGGGAGCTTGCATCTTCAAGTCCGCTCATCGGCACCTCCTTTTCAATGACGGTGCCCTGGCCTGGCCTCGAGGCTCTCCCTACCTCCAGCTCTTTGATCATTTGTGAGTCAGTTATCAAAATGTGCAATTTTATGAATACAGTTCAGGATGTGGGAATGGGTGAAAAGCTGACGAGTGGGTATAAAGATACACAGTAGACCATCCCTTTATTTTAGATGATATTTATCTCAGGATAGCTTTTTCAAATCTGAATCCTGGAAGAAACCTCTAAAATAGTCATGATCTGCAATACAAGTCTTTAAATCAAATGGTTTTATTTTCAATTTTGTCTTTGGTAAAACTGGAGAGACCTGGAGTTTACCTGGAGAGAGTTTCGGGGGTCAATGCCCCCGCGGCCCGGTCTGTGACCAGGCCTCCTGGTGGATCAGCGCCTGATCGACCAGGCTGTTGCTGCTGGCTGCACGCAAACCAACGTACGAGCCACAGCCCGGCTGATCAGGAACTGACTTTAGGTGCTTGTCCAGTGCCAGCTTGAAGACTGCCAGGGGTCTGTTGGTAATCCCCCTTATGTGTGCTGGGAGGCAGTTGAACAGGGGTGATCTTCTTTTAGGCCCCTTTCAAAGATTTTTATGATATGGGTGTTAGGCATTGGTCTGTATTCTTTGCTGTTGTTTTACTGCACCTCAATTATTTGTGATTGAGTAAAATTGTTTTTGTTTATGGTGCATTTCTTAAGATCATCATTTTTAGGAATATGGGTTAGTGTTTCCCCCGTCTAGTAGGCTCTAATATTTGGGTTTTAAAAATTGAATTTTGTGCAGAGATTTAAAAGTTTTGTGTGAGTGTGATTTTCATAAAGAGCGCCTCCTGGTGTTATTACGAAACAATATTTTTTTGTATATTCCTCCTTTTAGGTGCCTTAAGTAAAACCCCCCAGGAGCAAGATTTTGGGGGTGCAGGGCTGGAAGTTTTTCCAGACAGGGGTCAATTTTAAAGCTGTTCTTGAATTGCTGGGATTTTTGCATCGGAGGCTTGTAGACTCCCCACAATGATGGGTTTTGGTTCTCACCTTTACTGCAAAACTTCCATAGTCTTTGGGCTTTAAAAGCAGTTCTGTGCAAAAAAGTGACTTGCAATTTACGGGGCCACCCCCCCCTTTTGCTGTTCACTCTGTAATTGTATAGGTTGTAACTGGGACCATTTTTCTTGCCCAAGTGACTTTATGGGGGTTTTCAGTAAAGCCGCGAAATTGCCTTTTCCCTCTGCAAGCAGCCCAAAGGATGAAAGGTTTTTTTGTTGTTTTTTGCGGCTTTAGCCCCCTGTTATTCCCAAGAAAATGTATCGGATGGTGGTATTGTTTGCCCTGGGGGGGATTTTTTTTCGGCTTAGTTTTTATCTTTTGGTTTGGAGTGGGGGCCATCGACTGGGGTTCCACTCCGGGAAATGCTGGATTTGGTGTAGTTTTTGCCATTTCCCTGCCATTTTTTTTTTTCCTTCCCTGGCACAAAAAAACCTCCCCCCTCTTGAGTGGCTGGGGTCCCCAGGTTTTCCCATGGCCTGGATGTTTTGTATTTTTTTGTCCCTTTAGATGGTATGCCGGGAAATTTAAGTTATCACAGTTTTTCCTGTATGAAGAGGTACACATTTGGGGTAAAAAAGCTTACAAAAGGGATTTTTGCTTTCCTGTTGTCTTTTGGGTGGCTTTTTTTGGGGTGGTCATAGTTGCACGTCCCACTTTTTTCAGTTTTCCCCCATGCCAGCAATACCAATGCATATTTTGTGCACAGGTTTGGGTTTCCCTTGCTTGGGTTTTTTGGATGTTTTCCCGTTGGTGATTTTTCCCTGTCTTACTTCTTCCTCCCTACCCCAAAAAAAGGAGCCCCCCCCATTTGTTTTTGGAAATTTACCCTCATATTGCTTTTTGAGTCCTTTTGTTTGCTATTTCCTGCGGAATTTCTATTTGAAATTTTGGTTTTATTTTTACTTTGACTACCTTGTTTCCCACTAGGGCTCCTGCCCCCTGTGGGGTCATTTATATGATTCTTTCCTGCGTAAAATTTCCCCGATCCCTGGAAAAAATCTCCAGCTTCACATTCTGTTAAACAAAAATTAATCTTAAAAAACTAAAAATTCTTTGTAAGTGGAAAAAATTATTTAAATTAAAATTTTAAAACCTTTGACGTCGCAACCCAATTTTTAAAACCCTTTGACTGTGCAACCCCAACCCTGAGGTGTCTCCTGGTGTCGCAAAATTAAAAAAAAAAAAAAATTATTTTTTTTTATGAAAGTGGGAAAATTTTTTCCGGTGAAATGAACCAAAAAAAACGAAATTTGATGGAAAATGAGGGAAATTTATGCTCTCCAAGTTAGCGCCCCTCGGGCTTTTCAAATGGGCGTTTCGCCCTTTGAGCCCATTTTCGGCTAATTCCTTTTGTTCCAGTCCCCCAAAACTCATAAATTTTTTTAAAACTTCATTTTTTTTTTTTGGTACAAAAACTGCCCAAATTTACGGGTTTCAACTACCAAATAAGGGGGTCAAATTTGCTTTTTGCAATTTCACGAAAACAAAAAAAATATGAAAATTTCAAAAAAGGTTTCCAAATGAACAAGCTGACATTAGGCTCAAAAAATAACTTTTTCTTTGCTCATCAGTCGTCCCCGGGCCCCTGATTTTACTCTTGCTTTCATTTTAAATTTTTTTTTTAAACAAAAAATATTAACTTACTATTATGCGACTACTGCAAGCTGTAATAACTTTTTAAAAAAACTAACCCCTTCATGCTGCATATAAATGGCTATTTGGACTTTTATTGGAAAATGGCACATTTTTTATTTTTAAACATTGGCAAAAATCAAAACATTTCCCCTATTTTGGCTCCTTTTCTAGGTTTTTTTTTATAGTAAAATCAATCAAAAAACCTATTCTGAATATGTTTTCCATTCTATCAAATGAGCCAAGTAAACGAGAATACAACCATAAATACTATACAAAAAATAGCCAAAAAGTCGGCATTTTAATTAAAAAAAAACGGTGGGATTTTTTTTTTTCTCATTATGCACTCGTGCCCAGGATTTTTTTTATATGGTGCACATGACCACACACCCATTTTTCTCACATGTGGGCCCCCAGTTTTTCTCCAGTTTTGTTTTAAAAGCCGCTAGAATTTAGATTATTACGTAAAACAGGGCCCTCGTAAAACGTAATTACGGCCGCGCGTCAAGGGTTAACAGCAGCAAAAAAGTAATTGAAGAAAATTATTGTACTTTATAAAAAATTAACAAATACAGTGGTCCCCAATTCGTCCGTACCGTTCCGGGAAGTGGGACATTATCGAAAGGACGATTTACAAAATAAATTTTTCCCCCATAAGAAAAAATGTAAATTCAATTAAATCTTTCCTCCCCCAGAAGTTTAAAAAAAAAAATTTTTTACATGAAATATAGATTTTAGTACAAAACAATACAGGGGGCAATGATGAATTAAAATTACGGGAAAAAAAACTTCCTTTTTTGGGCGATTCTTCTTTGTGTATGGAAGATGGAAAAGGGAGATGATTGGGATGAATTACTTTTTGGGGAAGGGGAATCCCTTCTAACACCTTGGGTACCAATTGTTTTTTTGGGTTTACTTTCTTCTCTGTTTTTTAAATGCCACTAGGACCACCTTGGAGTCACGGAGTCCTGTCTCGAAAAAAAAATGCCCAGGAGTTGTTTCTGGCGTCTTTTTTAAAAATTTCCCAAAAATGGGCCAAGATCGTCACTGTAAAAGTTCCCGTATGGCTTTGAAACATCCTTCCGGGGTGATGTTTCCCCAAAATCTTTCCACCTACCCCACATTTAAAAAATCTCCTTAATTTCTAAAAAGGCACCTTCCCCTCTTCTTCCTCCCCTCTGCAGCAAGATTCAGAGCTGCCATCTTTTGCTGTTCTGCTAAAGCTCTTGCGCTCCTCAGTGGTTAGTCTTTGTTGTGGCCCTCCACACTTTTTCCACACCCCCAAAACTCACACCCAACCCCATGGAAGCCCCCATCCCACAATGGTTTTAACAATGACATAGGTCATCGGTCAGCCCAAACCCTTAAAAATCCCTCTTTGGGACACAATTGGCCACTTTTCCCAAGAGATTTCAAAGCCGGGTGTCACCCCCCCAACCCTTTTACCTATAAGGCTTACACAATGGGAATCTAAAAAAGTTTTTTCCCAAAAATCTCGTAGGGTAAAGGATTTTCCGAGGTCACATTCAAGACCCTTTTAACATGCTTTTTGGTGTAGAGTTTTTTAAAGTTGCAATGACCTGGGTCCATGGGGTTGGGGGAGAGGAGTGGTATTTCGGGGGCAAGAACTTTACTGGGGATAACCCAAATCCTTCAGATTAGGTCATCCGTTTTTAGGATGAGCAGGTGCATTGTCCCTTACAGGAGGCACTTGAGGGTCCAATTTTTTTTCAGGAGGTAAATTTTTCCCCACTAGGGCCAAACACTTCGTTTACCACTCTCCCAAAAAATTTCCCCCGTGACCCATGCCTTTCTATTTGTTTTTAAAACACGCACAATTTATCTTTATAACATTGTTTTCCCGAAAACCCCTGGGGTTTTCAGAATGGTACACTAGTAACGGGTTCACTTTTAAATCCCACTGCTTAGAAGAACATTGGGGCAGCCCCGTTTTCATAGGCTTGTGTCTGGCATTGCTTTTCCCCTTTTTGAATGAAGGGCCTCTTTGGCATTTTTTTCCAAAAAAAGGCCTGTTTCTCAAATTGAACCTTGTTCAGTTTTAGTCCATTACTGTTTATGTATCCCGGAATTATGACATATTTTTTTAGCCCCCTTGTGTCCCAACTGGCAGCCTCACCATGCCCTTTCCACACTGTGTATGCCGTCGCTTCTTAAATCTTCAAACCAGCCCTTTCTGCCTTAATTCACTCAATTTATCATAGTTGCAGGAAATTTCTTTACCCAAAACGTCATGCAATTTTTCTACCTTTTCCAAATAACGACGTCATAAGACTGTCTCCTGCTAATTGTTTTTTCATTTTTTCCACCAATAATAAATTCTCAAAATTTGAGTACTGGTGATCTCATTTTTGTCAGCATATTTACCCCC